AAAAAAGAATAAAGGAAGAAAAAAAAGGAAAAGCTAGGTAATCTTTAGGAAAGCTTAAATCAAAGTAAGTAGGTTTTATGTTGCATTCTGTTATGCCATAAATTTCATTTATATTTGCTTAAATTAGGTGGTGGTTTAAAGCTTTCTATTATGTTGTTATGGGTTATTCATGTTAGTACTTTGTGTTTGATTGCTTGATGTGAAATTAATGGTTGGATTGTATATGTGATGATGAATGGTTGGTATGTTTCTGTATCCATGTGTTGTGTATACCTAAATATGTGTTGATGGGTTTGGTTAAAACAAATGGGCTTGGACTAACGTTTGGATGGATTCAACCATGGTGGACATGGACTTAGAAGAATAACTTAGCAAGAAAAAGGAAAGAATTCTTAGAGTATCCTTAAGGAAATCATTCAGCCTAGGTACTAAAATGGCTAAAGTTTGAATTTTTTTATGTAACTAAAGATCTAAAACTCAATGGTAACCCAATTAAGTATCGATTAGTAAGTTAGGATAAAAAGAAATTACATAGAAATAAAAGAAAATCTCTTGCCACTTTTAGAACCTATTCAACCTAAACCCACAAATTTGGAGGTTTAGGTTCCAATCATCCAACTCTATAATTAATGGTCCAATTACACCCGAATAAGTATAAAATAAAATATTGGAAGATAAGATTTCAAATGCGCTCAAATGCGCTGAAGATAGGAATGAAATCCCACTTCAAATGCGCTCAAACGCATTCCTAGAACTAAAATATAGGAATTGATTAACCCCGATGGACGGGTCTTGTATTCTTTATGTGATTACTATGAAAAATATATGAAATCCTAAGCATGGATTAGATTCCGAGTGTGGTATAGCAATGAAGGGTTTGGTACCCATGATTGGTGGAATGTGGTAAACGAAACACCACGTGTATCATATGCATTTAGGGGTGGATCGACTTGAGAAAAAAATTGAGTTGAGAAATGATGAGGTTTGATAACTCGAATTGGTTTGAAATTAGATAGGTTTGGTAACCTAACTGGATTAAATGGGTATTAGCAATGAAGTTGTGTGCACACTTTATTAATTGATTACGTTGTTAAGCGATGGATAATTCCGCTAATTGTGTGCTACAATGAGGGATAATTCCATTGCCAGCAGCAGTGATTCGGCAATCACCGAGGAATGAGAATAGATCGGACTTGCTAATACTTAGGGTACCGAATTAAAATCAATAAGGAAAAGCTAAGTGATAGGATAGCATCGCATCTCACGTGCATCACCCTACTTGCCGAGCTTCGACTCACCCCGTTGTTATTTCATGTCATGACGAGCAAAGGCGATGGTAGTGCTCGATAAAGAAGTCGTCCGTTTCTCTTGGAAAATGGCTCATGTGTGACACAAAAAACATAGAAATCTCTTTTCATTATAACATAAGGTATGGTGTCTAGTAGTGTGTAAATAACACCTTAGATATTTTGTTACTTTTATAGTAGTATTCATTAAAGTTATGTAAATTTCATTATACATACTTTTATACTTAATTTGTTATTATTTATTGGCCATGTATTATGGGAGTAAATCGAAACTTTAGTCTCTAAACCGTAACGCACCTAGTCACGCCTCTTAGGTAATTGGTAAGGGAGCCGAGGGCGTCAAAACAAACATCTACACAATAACACTTGAAATGCAAATTGCAGATAGCTCTCTTTAAACACTCTTTCAAATTTTAGTACCTTTGAAACTAGTTAGCTTATAACTTGTAGACGAGTACCATGAAGACAATAATCAAAGTATATAGTAATATTATAGGTTGATAGATAAGGAAGAATTATATATTTTGTTTTTCAAATAATCACCGACCCTTTAATTTACCCTTGATTGATTCTCCTTTTAATTTTCTTTTTGGGCTTTTTTTCATCATTTTCTTTTTTTTTTTTTTTCAAATTGAGCATTTAATGATCCTTCCTTCTTTCAATATTTTTTACTTCTTCTTTTCGATAGGGAAGCCAAAGCTACTTACTATTCAAGAATGATTATAAATTAGTCCCTTTTTTCTTCGAGAAAAAAATTAATTAGTCACTTTGGTTCAACAACTAATTTTTTATCCTTTTTCCTATTTCAATTTTTTTATTTTTATTTTTAAGAAGTAGAGAAAGAATAAAAAAATAAGTAAAAATTTTAAAAATATATAGTTTATAAAATAAAAAATAAATTATTCATGGTCACCACTTATTAAAAAAGTTATTTTTTTTAAAAAAAGAATTAATTAATTCATTTCTTAATACAAGATGAACTAATTTATAATTTAATTTGTAATTCAAGAATCTCTTTCGTCATAAATAATGAAGTAGAATTTATAGGAACCAATTTTGTAGTAGTTTTTATATGAATTTATTAACTTTAATATATTCCATACAGACTTAGTATTTTTTTTCAAAAAACATTTGTTTATGCTATATATTCTAAATTTACTAAGTGTGTATATATATAGTTTTATTGAAAATTAGCTATATATTTGCACACATAACACTAATTATTTGTTATTTATTCTTTTTTATGCTCTAAAATCTATATTTTTTAAATAAAATAATTGAAATAATATTTTGGAAGAACCTTTCAATTATTTAATACAACTTTTAATATTAATAGTATTGATTATTTTGTTAATAAATATATATAAATCAAACAATTTTGCTTAGCAAATAGATTTGATTTACATTAATTACGAGAAATAAGATTTTTATCCACATTACACCATAGGAATCGTTGACCTTATGTATATAACGATTATCCGACTACGATGTAGCACAGTGTATTCAATTAGTAAACACCTAGAACTTAACTCTCTTAACAATAAGGATGAAGCCACAATGCATGGTGGAGCGTCGGCATAGCGAGCGTAGACAATGTAGATTAATACAATGAATGTGGAGTAGGTCGGTGTTAACAATACTTTCCATAATACTATTTTTTAAATATTTGTTTAATAAAAGTATCGATGTCACATATTTTTAAATAATTTTAAAGGTAAGCAAATAATTTTAAAGGTATTTCGATCTTTTTTATAATACGAGATTACTTATACTTTAAAAACTTTCTAAGATCATGAGACATTAGCTATCTTTTATTTGTTATTATTTGATATAGACACTTATATTGAATTAGTGTTTAAAATAGAGTATTAGAAAAGGTGTTGCTAGCACTCCTTCATCGGCTATTACCATAGAATTCAAGACTATAAATACAAGTTATAGTAGAAAGAACAACAAACATCAATACAACAACAATTGAATACAATAAAAAGAATAACACACATCAACACAATAACAAATGAATTTGGAAACTGCAAACAACTATCGGAACATCAAGTTTTAACACATTAAAAGTTTATTAGGTTATAAATTATAAATAATAGTAAGTATTTAGCAAGTTAATAACATTGTAGGCTAATAGATTTGCAAGTTGGTAGATTGTTCACTTAGCTCGTATTCTAAAATCAAATTCGTGTCTATACTCTTGAAACATTGAACTCTTATGCAAACGTCATGTCTAGAGAAGGATAAAAATCTGAAACTAACTTTTCTAACAATCGAAATGAAGTGGATGATGGTGAAACATGAATATAAGAAAGGTGGGTGATGCGAAGTAGATAATGGTGGAACATGAATATAACAAGGGTGGACAACATGGATCGCTACAAAGGACATGGAGCAATATTAAGGTACCAAAAGACTATAAATACAATTTGTTGTAGGGAGAACAATAAACATCAATACAACAACACCATAAATGCAAACTACAGATAGCTCTTTTGAAACACTTTTTCAAATTTCAATACATTTCAAATTTGTTAGGTTATAACTTGTACACAGTATTAAGTAGACAATAATCAAAGTATAAAGTAATATTATAGGTTGATAGATAAGGAAGAAAGCTTTTTTTTTTTTTTTTTTTTTTGCCAAATAATCATTGACTCTTTAATTTATATGTTTAGTACTCCTGATCACAAACATGAACATCTAAAAATAAGATCTTAGTTTCAATTTTTGACCTTTTTTTCCTTACTATTATTGTAAGGTTATATATATATATATATTTCAATCATCTTTGAAGTATACTTTCTTCTTATAAAAAAATTTTCAATGAGAAAAAATTAATAAGTAAAAGTTTATAGCTATATTAATATAATATGTTGAGAATCTTAATTGTTTTAAATTTTTTTATAAATATATAATTAATAATAAAGATGACCTAATTAGGCTAATATATTGAATTTGATAATATATATATATATGCCAAATAGATAAGCAACATAAAAAAAAATGTACTTAATTGTTGCATATTTAATGTATAATGATCTTTTCTATTTATTATAATGTACTTGTAATTTAAGTTTTGGAGTGACACAACTCTTTCATTCCAAAATTTGTATTTTCTTCATAGCGCTCCATGCACGCTTAACTAGTTTCAACAGGTTCCAATAAAATTCTTATTATAATTGATTTTTTTATTCATTATGAAAGTCTTTGTTTTGGCTGAAGATTCAAATAAAAAAAATCAATTGTTAGTCTTAAAAAAAAAAAAAAAAAAAACAATAATCATGCAAGGATTGTTTTGGGAAGTAGCAGTTACCTAGAGTTGGATTCTCAGTTCTCACTGCCTTTGACCAGCTTACGCACATCTCTTTCACAGAAAAACAAACATGCTACATTGCTGCAAGGCAATGGAAGATAGCTACATCAAAATTTTACAATTGCATGCTCAGCTTCTAGAACTTGGCTAGAAAATTAGTGAATCAAAACATTTAGAACCCAAATTCACCCACATTGCAACAGCGTGTGTTAAGGCAAACCAGAGAAATAATTGAATGGTGCGTTATTATAGGCAAAGCTTATGTATAAATTTCACCCATTCTAACTCAATATGCACGGTTCATCAGCTCTCAATATATCTTCATCCTTCCTCCTGTTAGCCCACCATTATTCATCAGCCTATCGATCGAAACAATGTCGAAAAACTTGATGGTTTTTGGGCTTACCTTGATGGTGGTATGTGCATGTTTTGCATCAATTGTTGCTGGGGATGAACCTCCTACTATTGGCTATGGAGCTATAGGAAAAGGTGGAATTCCTGGATGCAGTCCAAAAAATCCCAACGCAAAGGCATGTAACGAAGTACCTGCGAATCCATATGATAGAGGTTGTGAAAAGGAGAATCGCTGTCGAAATGGGAGAAAGTTAGTCGGAGAAGACACAAAAGTCGATGTTCCCATCAATGTTGTATAACGCACAGAGCATATGTTGTTCTGCTGCATAGATATATGTATTATATGGCATGCTAAAATTAGAGCATATGCCTAGATTTTGACAGGATATTCGGTTCACAGACCAATGTAGTCGGTCGAGAACCGAGCAACATATGCTTGTTACTACGTCTACAGGCCCCTTACTTTGGGAAGTTATCAGTTACAAAATATTAACAACAACAAACTATCAAAACTTACATATTTATTATTCATTTACTTTGTTTTATATTTAGGTTTATTATTCATTATACTACTTGATTTTTTACTTCCTATCTTTTCGTTAATTTCTATTTTGTCACTCGATAGATTTGAAAAACTTTATTTTTGTTCTTGACTGATTCTCTTTTTAATTTTCTTTTTAAGCTTTTTTTTTCATCATTTTATTTTTTAGATTGAGCATTTAATGCTCTGTCTTATTTCAATGTTTCTTTCTTTCTTCTAATATTTACTATTTATTTACTTTGTTTTAGATTTAGGTTTATTATTCATCATATTACTTGATTTTTTCCTTTCTATCTTTTTTTTAAATTCTCTTTTGCCACTCGATGGATTTGAGAAATTTCATTTTTATCGTTAACTCGATTCTCTTTTTAATTTTCTTTTTGAGCTTTTTTTCATCATTTCCTTTTTTTTTTTTTTTTCCTTTTAGATTGAGCATTTAATGCTCTAACTTCTTTCAATACTTTTTTTCTTCTTATTTTCGGTAGGAAGCCAAAGCCACTTGCTATTCAAGAATGATTATTAGTTAGTCCCTCTTTCTTCGAGAAAAAAATTAATTAGTCCATTTGGTTCAAAAACTAATTTTTTTTGTCCTTTTTACTTTTTCATTTGTTTTCATTTTTTATTTTAAGAAAAAAATTAAAAATATGAAAAAAGACATTTTGTGAAATAGAAAAATAAATTATTCATGGTCAACATTGATTAAAAAAATTAAATAATTTATTTTTGAAGCCAAAAGAATTAATTAATTCATTTCTCAAAATGAGATGAACTAATTTATAACTTAATTTTCAATTCAAGAATCTCTTTCATTATAAATTAAGAGGTAGAATTTATGGAAACCAATTTTATAGTAGTTTTTATTTTAATTTATTGACTTTAATATATTCAATACAAATTAGATATGTTTTGTTTAAAAAAAGTTATTTATACTATATACTCGAATCTACTAAGTATGATATATATATATAATTTTTGTGAACATTAGTTATGTATCCGTACACATAACAGCAATAACAAACTTTTTATGTTCTAAATCAATATTTTTTAAATAAAATAATTGAAATAATGTTTTGAAAGAACTTTTCAATTATTCAAATACAAATTTTCATACTAAAATTATTGATTATTTTGTTAATAAATATATATATAAATCAAACGATTTTACTTAGTAAATAGATTTGATTTACATTAATTATGAGAAATAAAATTTTATCCGCATTACACCATACTAATCGTTGATCTTACATATATAATGGTTGTCCAACCGCAACGTAACACGGTTATCAAATTAGTAAACACCTAGAACTTAACTCTCCTAACAATAGGGATAAAGCCACAATGCATGGTGGAGCGTCGGTATAGCAAGCGTAGACAATGTAGATCAATACAATGAATGTGGAGTAATGGAGTAGTTCGGTGTTAACAACGATTTCCTTAATACTATTTTTTAAAAAATATTTGTTCAAGAAAAGTATCAACATCACATATTTTCATATAATTTTAAAGGTAAACAAATAATTAAAAGGTATTTCAGTCTTTTAGATAATATAAGATTACTTATAATTTAAAAACGTTAAAAGAGCATGGGACATCAATTATCTTTTATTTGTTATTATTTGATGCAAACACTTTTATTGAATAAGTATTTAAAAGAGAGTATCGAAAGAGTGTTATTAGCGCTCCTTCATAGAGTATTACATATAATTCAAGACTATAAATACAAGTTATAGTAGAAAGAACAACACACATCAATACAACAACAATTAAATATAGTAAAAAGAACAATACACATTAACACAATAGCAACTGAATTTGGAAAATACAAACAGTTGTCAAAACATCAAGTTTTGAACATTAAAAGCTTATTAGGCTATAAATTATATATATATAAAAACAGCAATTAATCACATTGTAGGCTAATAGATTTGTAAGTTGGTAAATTGTTCACTTAGCTCATATTCTAAAATCAAATTCGTGTCTATACTCCTCAAACATTAAATTCTTATCCAAACGTCATGTCTAGAGAAGAAGAAAAAGCTGAAACTAACTTTTCTAACAATTAGAAGTGAAGTAGATGAAGGTGAAACGTGAATATAAGAAGGGTGGGCAACATGAAGTAGATGATGATGGAACATGAATATAAAAAGGGTGGGCAACATGGATCGCTGCAAAGAACATGGAGCAATATTAAGGGACCAAAAGACTACAAATAAAATTTGTTGTAGGGAGAACAACAAACATCAACACAATAACACTTGAAATGCAAAATGCAGATAGCTCTCTCGAAACACTCTTTCAAATTTCAATACATTTGAAATTTGTTAGGTTATAACTTGTACGCATTATTAAGTAGACAATAATCCAAGTATATAGTAATATTGTAGGTTGATAGATAAGGAAGAATTTTTTTTTTTTCCAAATAATCATTGACCCTTTAATTTATAAGTTTAGTACTCTTGATCACGAAAATGAAACTCTAAAAATAACATCTTAGTTTCAATTTTTTACTGTTTTTGTCCTTACTATTATTGTAAGGTTTTATAGTAAATTTCTACAATTTAGATATATAATGTTCAATCATCTTTAAAGTATACGTTCTTCTTATAAAAATATTTTCAATGAGAAAAAATAAAAAAGTAAAAGTTTATAGCTATATTAATATAATATTTTGAGAATCTTAATCGTTTTAAATATTTTTTTAAAATATATAATTAATAATAAAGATGACCTCATTAGGCTAATAAATTGAATTTGATAAAATTTATATATAATACTTTGAAATAATAGAATAATGAAAAATTAATTTACAAAATTATATATCTGCCAAATATACAAGCAATATAAAAAAAATTGTACTTAATTTGAGCATATTTAATTTATAATGATCTTTTCTATTTATTATAATATACTTGTAATTTAAGTTTTGGAGTGACACTACTCTTTTATTCCAAAAATTGTATTTTCTTCATACCGCTCCATGCGTGGCTTATCTAGTTTCAACAGGTTCCAATAAAATTCTTATTATAATTGATTTGTTTTTATTCATTATGAAAATCTTTGTTTTGGCTGAAGATTCAGATAAAAAAAAATCAATTGTTAGTCTTAAAAAAAAAAAAAATACAATAATCATGCAAGGATTGTTTTGGGAAGTAGCAGTTGCCTAGAGTTGGATTCTCAGTTCCCACTGCCTTTGACCAGTTTATACACATCTCTTTCACAGAAAAACAAACATGCTACATTGCTGCAAGGCAATGGAAGATAGCTACATCAAAATTTGACAATTGCATGCTCAGCTTCTAGAACTTGGCTAGAAAATTAGTGAATCAAAACATTTAGAACCCAAATTCACCCACACTGCAACAGCGTGTGTTAAGGCGAACCAGAGAAATAATTGAATGGTGCGTTATTATAGGCAAAGCTTATGTATAAATTTCACCCTTTCTAACTCAATATGCACGGTTCAATATATCTTCATTCCTTCCTCCTGTTAGCACACCATTATTCATCAGCCTATCGATCGAAACAATGTCGAAAAACTTGATGGTTTTTGGGCTTACCTTGATGGTGGTATGTGCATGTTTTGCACCAATTGTTGCTGGGGATGGACCTCCTACTATTGGCTATGGAGCTATAGGAAAAGGTGGCATTCCTGGATGCAGTCCAAAAAATCCCAACGCAAAGGCATGTAACGAAGTACCTGCGAATCCATATAATAGAGGTTGTGAAAAGGAGAATCGCTGTCGAAATGGGAGAAAGTTAGTCGGAGAAGACACAAAAGTCGATGTTGCCATCAATGTTGTATAACGCACAGAGCATATTTTGTTCTGCTGCATAGATATATGTATTATATGGCATGCTAAAATTAGAGCATATGCCTAGATTTTGACAGGATATTCGGTTCACAGACCAATGTAGTCGGTCGAGAACCGAGCAACGTATGCTTGTTACTACATTAGAGAAATTAAGGAATATCATACTTGAGGAATTTTTTTAGAGTGCCTGGGCTTTGATTAACATTGCATAATGCTAGAAACACAGGCTGTGTAGCATATATATTGACCTTATTTCTGTTGAAGATATAAAGTAGAAAAAAATCTCAAAACAATGAAAAGACTTGAAAACTATTTACAATAGTTAAAACTTGGAATTTCTACCGTGAGGTCTTAGGTTCAGATATCGGTAGGGTAGATGGGAATTTGGGTTATTCATCCTCCTGTAGAATGAGAGGGAAAAAAGAAAAAAAAACAAAAAAAGCAAGCCTGGAAAGCTGATTTATTACCATAAGAAAAACAAGTAGAGAATGGTTAGAAGAGAGGAAAAAAAAACACAAATCAGATGTTAAGGAAACGTCTAAGCGCAAATGAAGCTGGAAGTAAGCAGACATTATCCAATATGTTGTAAATTGTCATTATATTTTGCAAACACTTCGTTATGCCCAAAAATTGGACCAGTCCCCAAAGCCAACCAAACCTCAACATAGTGTGTTGGTAGATTTAGTGGGCTTGTTGGCAAATTCAAGTCTCCAGTAAAATGCTTATTCCATGATGGGCTAGTATGCAGGCCCCTTACTTGGGGAAGTTATCAGTTACAAGATATTAACAAAAACAAAATATGAAAACTTACATATTTACTATTCATTTACTTTGTTTTAGATTTAGGTTCATTATTCATTATATTACCTGATTTTTTGCTTCCTATCTTTTCATTAATTTCTCTTTTGCAACTCGATAGATTTGAGAAACTTCATTTTTATCCTTGGCTGATTCTCTTTTTAATTCCCTTTATGAGCTTTTTTTTTTTTAAGTCAATTATATGGCTGATTGAGGAGTTGATTTCTAGGAAGTTAATGACAGTTTGATTCTAGAGATTTAGATTTATCCTAAACCTTTATATATACATGATACACTCATGCATTTCAATAAATGAAATATATTATTCTATTCTTATATTTCTACATGGTATCGTAGCCTCGTCGCCCTAATTGAGTAACCGTTACTATTGCCGTAGTGAACTATCACATTTTTTCTTTTTTTGCTGTCGCCCTAATGAGCCGCTGCGACCTTGCTATCCTATTTTCTTGCTTTCTTTTTAGTGGCTGACAAAATAGAAAAGAAAACTATGATTTCGATGTTGTTACAGTTCATACCGTAAACTTTGCAGCCCAAGAGGCTAGTCCTACCTCTTCCTCATTTGAAACGTTTATAATGGTGTTTGTCGGTGACTTTGCTCGGTTAACTCGGCATCAATCCTCGCTAAAGTCTTCCAATCCACCTCCAGCTATCGGTGGTGAGACAGTAAACCTACTACATGTCTTGAGTCATCCTCTTCCAAAAGGGTCATTAATTCGGGTATTACGAATCACATGGCGAGGCAATAAAGATATTCTCTCCTCCTTCGTTTCACATAAACTTCGTGGCGTGGTTTACTCTATAGTAATCATGACCATTTCGGTATTAATCATGACCATTTCAGTATTGAGTGTTTCTTAGATGCAGATTGGGCTAGGTTTAAGATTGACGGAAGATCTACTACAAGGTATTGTATCTTTATTGGTGAAAATATAGTTTCATGGAAAAGTAAGAAGTAAAATGTTGTGTCTCGATCCGGTACGGAATCGAAGTATAAAGCTATGGCCCGATCCATGTGTGAACTTGTATGGATATCTCGGTCGTTAAATGAGATTGGTCTTAAAAATCCTCTTCCTATGAAATTGTGGTGTGACAATTAAGCTATTCTTCATATTGCATCAAGTCCGAGTTGTTTATGAAAGAACTAAGCATTATCACTTTATTTATGAGAAAATTCAATAAAGATTGATTTTTACAAATCATATCAAAACTGGAGAACAACTAGGTGATATCTTCACCAAAGCTTTAAGGGGTCCTATGATTCATTATATTTGTAACAAGTCGGGCATGATCAACATCTATGCTCCAGCTTGAGGGGGAGTGTTGTAATTATAGTAAGTCAATTATAGGGTCGATTGAGGAGCCGATTTCTAGGAAGCTAATGACAATTTGATTCTAGAGATTTAGATTGATCCTAGACCTATATATATACATGTTGTACTCATGTATTTCAATATGTGAAATATATTCTATTCTCATATTTCTACAAATATAAATTATATTCTGGAGCCTCACCTAATGACTTAAGCTTTTAGATGAAATGGTCCTTTAATATGATATCGAGCTTGGTTGACTATGTGATCTTGAGTTCAAGTCTCACCATCCATAGTTTTTCAAGTATTCATCACAAAGTAATGTGGACTTGTGCAAGTTTCAAGCTCACATGTTGGGGCTTTTACCCTAAGGAGGTGTGTTAGAGAGTAATATAAATTATATTTCGAGGCCTCACCATACAGACTTAAGCTTTTAGGTGAGATGGTCCTTTAATATTTTTCATCCTTTTA